GCAATGGAGATTTAGCATGCACTAAGTCCAACTGAGAAGATGGCTCTATTTCTCCTCCAAAAAAAAAAAAAAAAAAAAAGTTTCTCAGCAAGACCTAATGAAGGCAAAAGGTCCACCTACCACCTGTTTCATCACTGTTTTTGACCATAAAATTCTTGGCTCTCATAGGTGATAGACAAAAATGAAGCTAACCACTCTAAGTTGTACCTTTCAGACCTTTACTTAAGACCTAGAGGAAACTCTGGCATTGCTGTCCCATTCAGTCAGGAAATAATTCTTCCCTCCTCCCATCCAAATGTCTCATCCACTGTTCAGGATCATTCTCTGAGCAGCTGTACCCTGTGCTAAACTCAGTGTGTGCTGGGATAAAACTCATAGATGAGGCTGGGAAAGAGATCCCAGGGCAATCTGACTACTGCGGCCACTGGCCTTTTCTTCTCACTTGCAGGCAAGATCTTCTCTGACTCCAGAGAGAATTCAATCCCCAAGGGCAAATCATTCCATTCAAATGGTCAGTCCTCAAGGGAATGTACCTTCTTCCCATCTCTCTTCCATCTAAAAAGTTACTTGAAAAGATGTGTTTCCATTCAAAAGGAGGCTTATGACATTGTTTCTGACAAAATTTTTAATATTGTCTCTTTTCCTATTTATTCTCCATTGTCTTTTTGCAACAAGACTTAGTCTGAACATCATGTCTTCAGAAGAAAGGACATCTGAAGTAAATACAGGAACAGAAATGGAAGAACAGCTATTCAGGAAGTGGTTGTTGAAGTATGGATGAAAAAGTGGTTTACTCAAGTCTAGTGCTTCTAGGTAAAGAAGTCAGAAAGACTACTCTGAGGAAAAGACCAAAAAATCTAGGCATTAAGGGTGATTCAATGAGTGATGCTACTTGTAACTCAGAAGAATGATGAAAATAGATGCTTTTAAAAATATCTAGGCAAACAGAGTTTGACTATTGGAAAACAATACTGTTTAATTTTTAGAAGGGATAATAGTGTTTCTGGGTCTTTGATAGTAAGGAAAAGAAGTCTTTGCTTCCCTTCCTCTTGAATTAAAAAAAAAACATATTCAAAGTGGTACTCTAAAATCTTCTGGTGATCTTTACCATAATTTGCAAAGATTAGCACTGCTTGGCCAAAGATCTCAGTGGATATTCCAACACTGCAGGCAGAAGGATATTTATGCAGGTGTTGACCTTGGCAGGAATGATGCAGGAATGATAAAGGTAGATTTGGTCAACCTTAGCACAAATTGCTACATGATGCTTTCTGCAAAGGCAGGGTTTGCAGCTCTGACACAGATAAAACCCCTCCGTTGTCCAAGCAGCACTGCTTTTTCTCCTGATGCGATATGCTACCGCTGGTAACAAGCAGTCTGTATCACAACCCCTGCTTTCCAAAGCCCCTTTTACAGTAGCTCCACCTGCTGTCAACAATTTGGGGTTTTGTGTATCTACAAGGGGGAGAATTTGATTAACCTTTGATTAACTAGAGTTGCATTGGAAAAGGACTTAAGCCAAATCAGTTGCCTCTAAAGGAAACAAAAATAATCAGCCAATGTTATCTATCTCCACCTAAACTTGTATTTTATTAAAGAACATAGCTGGAGTTGTGAGTTTTAGATATATAACTAGTTATACCAAGATTAACAATGTAATTAATATAATTAATTAGGCTTCATAAAATGACAAAAAAAAAAGGATAAAAACTTCACAAGACTGTAAGCTATGGAATAGTTAGAACTCTGATTTCATTACAGAGATAGTACAGGAAGTACTGAAAAAAAAATTCATTTTCATTTTCAAAGCAAAGACACTCCAGCTAATCAAAGATTATATGACTCATAGCACAAGCAAATCACAGAGACTTTTGTAATGAGTGCAAAATGGGATGCAAATCCATTTCAAATATTATCCATGAGTTATTATTTTGTGCTGTAGGTAGCTAACCCTTATTTCTCATACAGCAATTGTTAGCAAAACACTCCTGACTTTTTAAGTGAAATTGATTTAAGTGGCTGGAAGAAGGTCTCACTTTGCAATCCTATTAATCTAATTATCTAGTTATCTTTCTGGTGGTCTCCATAATCTGAAAAGCTGGGAACTGCATATACTCTCTCTCTTGGAAAAAAAAAGAGAAAAATATATATATTCAAAAGGATGATGAGAAAAAAAACCCTAAAACAAATTTAATTGAAAAATTTTGGGGGTAATTAAACAGTTTGCAAAAGACCCCCAAACAAACAAACAAAACAAAGAAGCAAACAAACAAAAAATCACTCCCACAACAAAAACAAAAAAAAACAACCCAAACACACCCAAAAAAATAAAAAAAGGGGGCGGGGGAGAGAATACATTGATTTAACTTTTACTTCCTGTTTTTTTTTAACAAAACTGCCAGTTTTTGGACAAAGTATTAGAAAATGTTGCTTAAATCTTTCATTTGCTTTCTTTGACATACTGTACCTATGCTTTCATTTCTGCACATTTCTAGATGTTGCACTTCTAGATAAAAATGGATAGCCCAGGGAAGTTTTGTATATGTTTCTTGCTCAAGTATCTAAAAGAATTATCATGAACCATGAGAGAATTTCCTGGTTCTTTAATGGGATTTCCTGACTATTGTTATGAATCAAAACTGATAACTAATAAAAACTAGTAGGGCACACAAATTGTACCATGCATGCTCATTTTTTGAGAAAATTTAAACCTAAAAGACAAACCTGAGTAATGAATAATCCTACTTAAGTAGCAGACAGACAAAATGAAAAGTTTTATCTTTGAATTTTTGAATTACCTGTAAATTTTTTGAATTACAGAACCATTAAAAAATATAATATGCAAAAAGTCTTTTGTCCCAGGTGCAGCACATAACTGAACCATATTCTGAATGTTACTAATGGAATGATGAAAGAAGAAGGCCTTGTCCCTTACACAAGTCAAAATGATATGGAAATAACAATTTTATCTTTAAATTAGCAGCCTGCAATTTAAGACACTAAATCAGTTTTTTATTTCATGTTTCTTTCAATAAGCTTAATAGTAGTATCCAATGTATATCACAAAAAATTCAAAATGTGTCCTATATGCAGGTTCTTGTCTTGGAAAAATTTTATGCATGTCATCACAGTCACTCTTAGAATATCTAAAACTTTACTATGCTAACTTTATTACTACCTTGATCTTTCAATGTATTACGGTTGAAATTTAATACACTGCATAAAGTTCCACATCCTAAAGCTAATCAACTCTTGTATCTCATGCTCAATTCAAAGCTGTTTTGTGGAGTACATGACTGATTTTTCATAATTCATTTAAGGAAATAGACTGACTAAACCAAATTCTTGACTAACAAAGATTATGATTTCAGGAACTGAAAGGGGTTTCACACATCTAAGCTTAGCATAGATTTTGCCACTGATTCACATACTTCCCTTGTCAAATTCAAGACTCATAAAACTTATCAGCACACAGCAAGAAATTGTCTTAATTTAGATCTACCTGCTTTGTATCTAGTAGTTTAACTGACTGAAATGCAAGCTTCCTAGATTGTCCCTCTTCAGTGTTTTGAACTTGTATTCTTATATTTCTTCATATTTTTCTGTTTAATGGATTTCATAAATGATAGGAGAAGACATGAGGTATTTAGGGACGGTGCTCTTCATCAAAATAGTGAATTTTGGCTCCTCAATATCCTTAACACTAACTTGCTTTCATTTTAAAGGATGAGAAACATTCCCTTTCAACCACATCAATTTCAATGAAAAAATACAGAAACAAATCAGGAGCTGTGTATAAAATGTTTAGCTAGTTTTAATTTCCTTACTGTATCTGCTGAATTTTTTACAGCCTAATGAAAAAATATGAAATGCAAGTAAAGGAAAAGAGGTGAACCAATTTCACCATTACTCCATGAACCAGACAGATTTATGTTACGGTGACAGTATGATCACCAAATGAGAGAGTTGCTATCCACAAGTATGAAATACCTGTGTTACCCTATTACTTTGACAAATTCCATTTGTATTACATTCTCCTCAGGAATCAAAAAGAACAGTCTATAAAAAAACCAACCAAAAAACCCTCCAAACAAAACAACAAAAAAAACAAACCCTAAACCAAAGAGTTTATGGACCAGCTGCTTCTGTTTAAGCCCAACTGCTTTTGTATTGATGCAGCATAGCTCAGGCATGATGTCATCTGAAGGGCCAGCAGAATATACCCTGGTTGATCTTAAAAATATGTAGAGGAGCCTTTTCTCTCTGAATGTGCATAAGTTCAACTGGTGGAGAAGGCAGTTGCTCACATGCAGAAAATAGTAACGTAATCTAAATGACCATAGTGGATAGAGATGTGTGTAGGTTCTACTAAAGAAACAGACAATGATTTTCTTAATTCTTGATATTTACTTGTTCTCACTACAACATAGCGCCTAGTTTTAAAATTTAAAAATAGTAAAGAACAACCTTCTAATGCTTCTTGTTTGCTTTTGTATGACCCTATGAGGATGGAAATAATTCCAGTCCTTTATTACCTATCTCCATCTTTTCATTCGACCACCCATCCACCTTTGCCCTCCTTCCTAGTTCTATGGTTTGATATGCATGCAATGGAGATATTTATATTGTATATAATTTTCTATATTTACTTCTTAATAGAAGATGTTCTTGTTTTAAATGTTACAGGAAGAAGAAAATAAATGTAATGAGGGCTGTAGCTAACAAACAGAAGTACAATACACATGTTCACAGGAATATAGAAAGTATAATGACATTTATTATCTAGGCAGTCACTTAAGAGGATGGCCCAATATATACTATTCTGAATGCCAAGGAACAATGAAAATCTTAAAGTGATAAATCTCTTTCAATGTCATGGGAACACAATTGTCACTTGTCATTACTGTGCATCTCTCTATTTCTTCATATAGCCTAAACTGCCTATTCTTCCATAATTCAACACATTTAATAATGCAGAAAATCAATTAATATTTACTGACCTGTCTCTGCTTCTCCGTGATGGGAACGCAGCGTTACAGCCAGCCACTGTGCAGACATGCATCTCTTTTAAATGAACATTTCGGTAGTGAAGCTTCACACTGTAGGAACTCTTGAAACTTTTCTTGCAAACATAGCAGATCTTGGGGTCTGGACTGGAGCACATTTCACCTTCTGGGGAGAACTTCTGAGGGCTGCTGTAGTTGAATGTAGAAGCAAAACTTTCATGAAGAGCAGCCATACTGGCACTGCCTCCATTGTACAGTCCATATTGGCTCATATAGAACATATCATATGTAGGGTCTGTATACTCTTCCTTCACCTTAATGACATCCTGGTTGGAAGAGTCATTGTGGTTTTCATCAGGTCGGTCACTGTGCATCATAGATTTTTCACCAGGTTCATGGAGGCGATCATCGCCTTCCAGGGATTCTTCACACAATTTGGGCTCTGATGACTCTGACTCATTTTCATAGTCTCTCTCATGCTCCTGGTCTTCTGATGTCATGCTGTCTGCCCTTCTTATGTCTGGTCTGGACATACATCTGCCTCTATCACTTTTGGAAAAGTCTTTAACAGACAGGCCTGGGCTCATTTCCTCCTGAGAATGGCAGTGATTGTCATGACCAATGTCATTCACCATTGTGCTCCTGTCATTCACCTCTTCGTCTTCGTCATCAAACTCATCAGCAGTGTCAATAACTTCCTTTTCAATTTTTACTGGCATGCTTGACTTCCTTGGCTTCTTCTTGGGGGCAAGATCTGCATTGGGCTCCGGGGTGGGCATCAACACTGACGGTACCGATGACTCTGAAGGAGGAGGGGGATGCTGCTCCATGCCACTCACAGCTGGTATTATGGGACTGGTCGGGAGTGAGGTTGGAGGACTCACCATCTCGCCAGGAGTAAGTAAATTTCTGTAAAACGGAGGAACAGGTTGGACAGTCTTTAAAGCCGGGAAGACCAGCTGACTGGGAAGAGGGTTCTGTAGTACTGGGTCTAGAGGGGGAGTGGTAAACCCCATCGGTGGACGCCCAGGGCTTGTTAAAGTGAGGTTGGACTTTGTACTTGCTATGACAGGAGTGGCGGCACCTGATGTAGCACGAATTAGATCTTTGTCACGGTTATTCCTTAGCATAGGCATGTGGAGGCGGGGATTTGGGTTAGCACTGTGGCGATTGCGGCTTCTGAGAGAGCTGAAGACCATATTGCAGCCTTCAATAGTGCATCGATGCTTGATTTTCAGGTGCACAGCATTGTAGTGGATTTTAAGAGTACCTTTGTCATAGAAAGTTTTGCCACATGCATTGCAAAACACTCTTCCTTTCCTGGAGGCTGACCCCATTCTCCTCATTCTGTGAATTCGGAATGAGCTTTTTGTATGCTCAGTTTTCGATAAATCATTGACTGGTGTAGGTGTTTGAACAGGAGAGACACAGGCTGGCTCAGTTTTGGGCTCCACATTTGTGATGCTGGTCAAAGCATTCCTGCTGGATGCTTGCTCATTCTTGAAAGGTGTAGGGGAAACTTCAGATTCACTGCTCTCATTATATTCATTTTGGGTTGTAAGGCTTGGTTCACGGAGCCTCATTGCTGGCTGTTCCAGCAGGAGGCCATTTGGAGGCAGCCCCAGAAGTGGAGCAGAGACTGGATTTATGTACTGGAATGGAAGCAGGAATGCAAGGCTGTTCGGGATGTTTTCAAAATGATGAATGCTGGAAGGGTTGCTATTCTCCAGGTGAGCAAGGAGACTTGGGCTCCTGGTGCGATTATTGCTTTCAATAAAAGTCCTTATATCTGAATCTGTCTTTGAAGATGGCACAGCCACAGCCTGCCCTTCTTTTTCTTGAATTGCCATCAGCTCCACAATAGATTTAGTTTCTCCAAATCTCAGGAACTGCTGAAGGGTAATGATCTCTTCTTCCCTGGACATGATGGCCCAGCGGTCCAGCACCTTGCCTGCAGCATCCTAGAGGCCATATCAAAGAAACAACAAAGACAAAACACAAAGAAAAGCTTATTGATTCTGCATAATTATTGAAGAAGGTGCTCTGCAGCCTGAACATGAAACACTAAGCTCAAAAAACAAGATGCAAACAGTGTTAATAGAACTTGACCAAACAACACAAACTTTCCATCCATGCAAATACTGTAATTAGAGTCATAGTTAAAAAAACAGATTGAGTTTAACAGTGTCAGAGTACACAAAATGTAGACCCTGGGACTCTGTGATCTAAAATGCTTTCAGTACTTTTATTTTAAAAACAGTGATCTCTGTAGAATGCTACTGTTTAGAATAAATTAGTAAAACATGAACTGTTGTGCACACCACTCTAAAATACAGAAAATTGTAACTTACTCACTATTAAATGGTAACACTATTAGAAAGAGCTAAATAAATACAATTGATAGATTTGCTCCTTAAATATGAGCAGATACAAGACTGAACCTTTTCATAAGAAACTTTGATGCAAGGGAAAATGTCTTGGAAACAGCACTTAACATTTGCACCTTAATCCCTTTTTTCCTGGACTATTACTGGCAATTGATTGGTTGTAAACTTGCAACCTTGGTATGGTTTAAACTTGAAAGATTACTTTTTTTGTAGCCTTCTTATAAATGACAGTTAAAAATATGTAAAAAAGTAAGGATCTGATGGATGTAAATAGCATAAATGTGTAAAAATGTTGTCTCTTAACATTGCCTTCTGATAGCAAGGGAAAAATCCAGAGAGAATACACATCAGTAATCACAAGACTATCTGTTGTTAAATATACATTAAAAAGCATTTCACACTTTCATTTTTGCTAGTAAGCATGAGATTTGCCTGAAGGTAGGACTTAAAAATTCTGCAATGTAATGTCAGGCAATCCATTCAAGCAAGTATTGATAAAAACATATTAAAATACTTATATAATGAATATATCATTTTATTGGCATCTTTCCTTTTGGGCAAATGCTGGACATAAAATTAGCACAGTAACTATAACCAACAAGAAATGTGGAAGGCCATCAAACCAGAATTATTCCAATGCTTCCTCATGCATTAGACAGTTTGAAAGCCTTACAAGACAGACCAACATACTGCCTCTGATATTTTTACATCTTGAATCTCAGGTTCAGAACCTTACCTGAAGACTTTGGATTACACACTGCTGCAAAAATCATTAACTCTTGTTTGATTATGAAGTCTGAAATACCTTTCTTCCCCTCCAGACCCTTCACCCCCTGGATTTATTTTTTTATTTATTAAATTAATTAATTATTTTCAGTCTTCAGATGATTGATACTTCTCTTCCCTCACATTTCCTAGAGTACCAAAGATATAATTTTGCAATGTCAAATAATAAAGCATGTATTTAATTGATTAGAGTTGGTTTTATTATTTCAGTTTGAAAATGTTCAGCTCAGTTCACCTCTCTGGCTGAAGATTAATGCCATGTATGTTTCAGTACCTTAGAAACAACTACAACATCTTTATAAATGCTTCACACATGAACTTTTACAATCAAACCCTGAAAGACAGTAAAACCCTCAACACCAATTAACTTGCAAAATCTTACCCAGTTAACCCAGGTTTTGGGGAAAGCCCCAAAACCCATATATGTGTAGAAAATGTTCATTCTGTATTTATGGTGATGAATGAAACATCATGATGCAGATGCTGGTTTTGGTTTGCTGCATTAGTACGGAAATGTGTTCACCTTTGAACACCCCTAAGCACAGTGGACATGTCTGATTTCTATGTCCTTACAGTTCTTGATGCAGCAGTAGTTTACAGGCAGTCAGTACTATCTAACAGAAATCATCTGGAATAGCAAATATCACCCCCAACAAGAAAAGTAAGTGAAACAAAACCAAACCTAAATAAGGTGAGGGGTGGGAGGAAAAAACCACCAATGCCATAAAAAAAATTGAAGGACAGGTTCATATTTTAAAGATCCAAAATTATATTTGCTTTTTTCCACCTAAATAACTTCAGCTACTTTCCCCTTGGGTAAGATCTAAAGTTTCTTACATCTAATTCAACAACTTCCAACCAACCATAGCAGCTCAACATATGGATAATTCCTACATGGAGCTTCAAAACCAGATTTGAATCAGATTTTGATCTCCAGACCTTCGCTGTCATATCTGACCTCATCTATCTGCACACATTTCCCATCCCAAATCACAAATATTAATTCCTTCTAACTGTAACTCCCATAGTTTAAAGATGGAAATAACATTGTCTAATTCACAATACTTACCTGCATTGAATTAGGATTCCTGTCTGCCACTGGCTGCAGGCTGCTTTGTAATGTACTACTGCCGCATTTTATGTTGGTTTTGCTTTCATTTGTAAATCAAGCTTATATAACAGATGGATGCTTTACAAAAACTGATATATAAGTAATTAAAAGTTAATCACAGCTAGCACAACAATAACTCATGAGAATAGTAGGTAGAGATCCTGTAACGGACTCCCACATGTAAGGGGAAGGTGGTGTCACACAGTCCCTCCCTGACGGCAGCTCTCTGCCAGCTCTCTGCATACACAGAACAGGCAGGCAAGCCTACAAATGCAGGGGCTCCCTTTGTGCTTTCAGGGAATTACTCCACATCTTAACTGCGCAAAGCTGGCATTTAGCTACATGAGTTACCTCTTGATGAGACACCATCACCCTTTGTTTCACTTTGTTTAAGAATTTACAAGGAGGAGCACCAGACCTTCAGCAGCTGCTAAGTCCCACTGATCAGACAAACTGGCAGTTAAGGATGTGACAGTCATGGGGTTACCCTTGCTGTCATAGAAAAAGTAGGGAACGAGAAAGTTGCTCTTAAATACTCCTTGTCTACTCCTACTAGCTATATCAAGCTTTACCTTTTTAATTTTCAGCAAGAAGTTTTCTGGCCTTTTTTACCCAACAAAAACAGAGAGAAATATGCAGATGCCTGTATTTCATAAACCCTCTCTGCTTATGGATACTGTCTAGCATATGCTTCAATATTTACACAGTGAAAACTTTCCATAAATCATTGTAAGCATGTATTATGCAAAACTAGATAAAGAGTGAATAGGAATGTCATTTTTTGATAAAACTTAAAATTAACAAAAAAAAAAATCTAACCATTATCCCATTTGAATTTAGCTATAACTAGCTAGGGATCTTTCTGTATATGGTAATACTTGATTAGAGGTTCAAGTCCTTTCTTACATGTAATCGATTTCTTGTTTCTTACAATCTCTCATGCTAAATTTTCTCCCCGAAGCCATTAAAGCATATCAACATTTAAATACTTCATGACAAAGGGTTCCAATTTATATTACTTTTTTCAGCTCACAACTGATTAAGCCAAGCCTCCAGTGACAATGTGTACAAGGAACTCAGTGAGTACAGAGATATCACTGCATGCATACAGCTCTAAGCCAGGCAGGAGACAAGTAAGCCAAATCTGTACAGCATACACTAATGTTCTTCCTACTTGTCCAAACAGCCTTGCTTTGATTTTTAATTTAATAAATTTGATTTTGTTTTATTTACTTATTTATTTATTAAATTTTATTTTACTGTGTAGATCTCTTTCTCACAATTTCAGTTGGAGAAAATCTTTTGATCTTTAAACTATATTAGACTGACCTCCAAAGATCCAGGACATAACCCATAACCTTTTCTAACTCTAACCACACACTCAAGCCTATTTGAATAAACAGATCCACATACACTCATGCAACATTAGATCTGTAAAGTAATGCCATGGTTTATCACCCTGAACCTGCCTCCTGAAGTTTGGTGACCATATGTTAGGAAGAAAGGTGTGTGTCATGATATGTTAGAGTACATTTTGTCTTAAACTTCTGTGTCTAGAAGAACACATGGTGGGATCAAGATGATTATCTTGAATGACACAAACTACAAGAGAGGATGGACACAAAGATCATTCTAATTTTAGGAGCTTAACTGGGGAGGGGTGTCAAGGTGAGTCTTCATTTCCTGAAGGCCTTCAGCCTTTAAATCTTTCAACTGAGCTTTAAAACCTCCCAGTTTAAAAACTGCCTATTTAGAAAATAAGGGCAGTCTGTACAAGCATACACCATAAACATACACTGTAAACTTGGAACTTCTATTATGAAATCAGTTGTTTTAAATTTAATTTTGTGTGAGAAGCTCCCATGACTGCATTACAGGCAGAAATCTTATATGTTTACACACAGACAAACACATTGGTGTACATACACAACACTGACTTTTTGCAATTCTGTGCTATCTTACCGATTCACTTAGAATAGGAAAAACCGATATATACACCTAACTGGATACACAGCAAGAGATGCCCATACAAGGCTGAGATTAATAGAAAGGTTAAAAAATAAATTGCTTCTAAAACTAGCTTTCTGTTCTGGGAGACAAGGATTATTTTCAGGCACTACTGTGATAACTTCTGAGAACTACTCAAACTTGTTCAGAAAAAAGAAATAATTGCTAGGCTTCATATTTTAGTAAGTTTGCATATGCACCTAAACAGTGGATTTTATGCATGTCAGTGAAGTGTCCTTGTTACAAAATATTGCACAAATACATGTTTGATTAAATTATTAGGCTAGCTCAGGGTATAGCCTGAATTTTTCTTCGAAGGATCTGTGTATTTTCTAGCTGATCTCAAAGAAACATTTTGAATGCAGCTGTAACAGTTGAAAAGCAGACTGAAATATATTAATTTGGTCATACTATAATTGCACAGGATGGTTTTAATTAGTGTGCAGACCAAAAAAAAAAAAAATCCACATTTGTTTCCAATAAAGAAAAGCCTTCATAATTTCCATGATTTAGGGTTTGTTGTTTTTTGTTTGGCTGAATTTCCCAGAAGCATCTCTTTGCTTCACAATTAAATTTCAAGCTGCTACACTCTGGGTAGTCCTACTACTCCTGGAGTAAGAGTTACCAAAACTGTGCAGCACCACACCAACTCACATTAGTACAGATGGGA